TGAACAACCCTTTCCGAATTCCCCGGAAAAAATAGCGAAGAAGCAGATAGTACTTGGGGAGGTCGAATTTCACCTGAAAATTGGGACGTAAGGAAAAAGACCGAGAAGCAGCTACAGGGGATCAACAGACCATCGTCGGTTTGAATGCCAGTTCTTAACAGCCGCATACTGGTGTATGCAAAGTATGTGACGAAAGTGCTGTCCAACCTCTTAATTAGCAGTGAACAAAGTTCAGTCTCCGCTCTAACAATGCCCCATCCCTCTGACCACGAAATGTCGGCTGCCTTGGGTGCGAACACTACCGATGAGGCTGAAGGACACCTATTTTCTAGTCCAGGTGGTTAGATGACGTTGAGTTAAATTGTGCTGCACCTCTTTATCGGTGGACATCTTAATCGCCCTCTTCAGGCCGAGAAATAGAGCGTGAACCTAACCAGGACTTGGCTTCCATCTAAAGAACAAACTGGATCGGAGACCGGGCATAAGGACTCGTAAAAGCGGATATCATCACGCTCCCATCTCCCACTTGTACATGGCCTTCAGTTTCAATGAAGTAATCATAAATTCCCTACTAATACCGACAAACTTAAGTCTTCGAATTGACATACCCCTCTGTTGGTTAAATTTAAGAACCCTTAGTAGGCAGTGGCCTATCTCATCAGTATGAGCCTGTCGAAACCCTTTAGTGTTCATTGTCATCAGTCTATCTCCAACTTCTTTACATACATCGCACTCTTTCTTCTTCTTCATTTGGAAGGCAACACCTTCATACACTCAACTTTGGCTACGTTTATATTCGGCGCTTAAGACCTTCACTCGTCCCACAGTTGACATGTACATTGTCATCATAACATGGTAGAAATTCACAGTAGCCTTCGGCCATGTTTAGAATGATAAAGACAGTGTCGGTTTTGCTAACTTCTTCGTTTTTGATCATCGATATTTTCCCGCTTTTTGCCTGCCGTTACCCCCTCCTTAATCTGTGCTGCACTCATGCAGCAGTTCGAGGGCGAGTTCTCCCAACAAAGGGGTCACATTTAATGCAAAAATTAGTTAATCCCTCATGAGATGACTAAAGACAGGACCTCCAAGGCAAAACGGAGCCACTGTCTTCCCTTCCCTGTATTCAACGTAGCTTGATTAGCGCCACTTTCATGAGTTACCCTGTTCGTTGAGCTTTATAATGGTTTTTCATACATTTATTGTTCTTCCTCCTCCTTGTCAATATGCAACTTCAATTCGCAGTCCTCGGAACGTTGTAATACTGCCCTCCCCATCTACCACAGGCCACGCCGGCTCTAAGCAATCCGTCCTCGAGGGCTTAAATCACGACTCTGTTTACCTTTTGGTTGACTGCTCGGTCGTGTTCCGGCAGATAGGGGTGGCTAAGCGGATTCGCTCTTCGTGCTGTCTCCACGCTGACCAGGAAACTGAAATCCGATACACTTTGAAGTCTAGTTCTACTCTGTCGTCTTGCTACTGTGACTCTCCCTGGGTCTCCCCCTTTTTATTCCCACGTATGTCACAGTGAAAACGCGCCTTCTCCAGGCCCAACTTCGACTGTCATTCTACTTAACCCATGACAGGCCACCCGACCGCCTTCCCCTCCCCCCCGGCTTTGTACTTCGGATGGCCTCGAAAAATCCAGCGCGGCCCACGATTTTATGGGTTAGGTGAAAGAACAAGGGGTGTTTCAAAAAGCAAACCCTACCAAACCTCCCGAGCCTCTGCTCCCCCCTCAATCAGTGGTCTCGGTAACTCAGATGGCCCTGAATCAGTCGCTTTCACTAGTTAATTAGAGGGCTTTGGTCCCGAGGCCAGGTGAGCGACGGAGGATTCAACCCTGATACCCTTAACAACTGCATCGTCCCATTCAAATTACCTTGGTTGTCAACGCCAGCGGCAGTCCAGCTTCTGACGAAAGCTATTCATTCCACCGATGGCAACTTAGTCCCCAAACCCGTCACCCTGCAAAAATGTCACCGGAAGCAGAAAGCACTATACACGCAGTAATGATGGCGGCATTAGCTGCATTACATTTGCTAGGGGCATTAGGGACAGGCAAAAAGTGGTTTTTGCTTTTGCGCCACAAACCATTAACTAGCGGTTGCTGGCGCGCTGGCTGATACGCCTGACATTTTTTGCGATGGTTCTGCAGGTAAGTTCATTGCCTGCCAGTCCCCGGCATTGGGACATTTCCACATGCTCACCCCAGCAACCACTGCCACTAAGAGTCCTAGCTGTTGGTGGGGCTTTCACCACTCTTCGCCCCCTGTTCCTCCGGTCCTCCCTTAGTGAATGGAAAGTTCGGAAAAGAATGTTTGCAAGCCACGGACGAATATCCTGTGAGAGGCTTACAAGTGCGGTTGCCTTCACTGTTCTCTTTGTACCTTCCCACCCACCTATTTTTGGGCGAGTTTACCCGCAACGGGGAGAGGTGAGGCTGGTCCGACAGATACGGAGAAAGAAAACTCCCCTTACTATTAACCAGGTACTGCCTTCGGCGCCACTGTGTTATGAAAGCTGTCAGTGGTCTGTCTTTACGGAGAGGTTGTTCCGAATCCTTCGCTCATCCCCTCCAACCTTATCGGTCTTCGTACTGTTCACCGATATGACTAGATTTTCCATTATTGTTGGTAACTGCCTTGCTTTCAGAATCAGTCGATCCTTTTTCCTGTCCACACGACCAAATTCACTTCAGGTCTTCCGCGTTCGCCGCTTGTGAAGCAACGGCTACGTACGGACCCCGTGGCATACTACTTTGCAAGTTGTCCTACTCATCAGATCGCTCCGATCTGAGCCTTATTTAGTCAATTTTCGTTTGGGGATGCGCATGAATTAATATCATTATGTCGTGTTAATAGTTATCAAAGCATCTGCATGCCAACTTTATCACTCGCAATCAGCGAACGGCCTGATTAGGCTGTCTAAGATCTTCTGAAATGGTTTCCTTCAAACCGTGTAAGTACTGCGTAGACTACCTTGAATTCAGCTGATAGGGACACAGACTGTAGAAGCATCTCCTTGCCCTGAAGAGAGAGATTAGCTAACGAAGAAGGAGAAAGAGCGGAGGGGAATAAAGGGACTTTGTAAAGTATTTCGCTGGAATGGATGTACTGAATGCCTGACGTTGCAAAGAGTTCTTTTGCCTGGCGAATCAAGTCTAGCACTCGCATTCAAAGTTCCTTGTTTGTGATGCATCACTTTGTTCATCTAGTCGATGGTCGGCGTCGGCTGCGAAATTGTCGCTCTTAACTATGCTTATCCTCCATAGTTATTGTTTGGCAACTCGAATCCTTGTCATATAGATGGTTACAGCCGCGAGAACCACTGACAGATTAGTGCAACAAGGGATTTAGAAGTCATCTAACAGCCAGGCATCTTGTAACTACTTGGTCAAACGATCATCATCTCAGCATGTAATCACGGTTTCGCCGATGGCGAATCCTGGCTCAACATAGGAGACATGAAATGTTATGTGTGACTTCGAGTCTAACCTGTGCACTTGAAACTGGCGCTTCCGGTTCCTCTTATGTGGTTGGTATGTGACCGCTTCATGGCGGTAGCACTACCCCCATATGAATTGTGACCGTCAGACGATGGGTGACTTCTCCACGTTCGAATGGGGTCTCTTGAGCACACTAATTAACGGAAATATGATGAACTGAACTCGCGTGTAACTCTCAGTCTGAATATTGCGAAAAGTCTGACAACCACCCCTGACACTCCTTCTAAGCACGAGATGCTCCACAATGGCTTGAGCTGTTGGTTTCCCCTTTCCCATCTATGCAAAGTCGTCATCTTTTTTCAACAAGCTTTCGTGGGCAGATGTTTACCTTGAATGTTTTCCCAAACATAAATTTAGTTCAAAAATAGTTGACGCTAAACAACAGTAACAGCAGTACAACTGCACAGTTACCGGTGTCTTCTGACTTCTGTGCCAACAAAAAGTATGTCAAAGTAATTCCAGCGTATGTTTTTATACTATTGACCGCCTGTCGGCAGACTGCTAGTATTAGGCGGTTATCTTAGTGAAAACGGTGGAATTCGTCGATTTGGGTGCTTCTTGAGGGTGTACTGGTTAAATAAGCGAATTTGTACACCGTTTTGGGTTGCGGGTTATTGACTGTGATGCGAGGATTATTGTATTTAGCGTCAGGCGACGGCTGGTGCACGACCACAATAGTATCCGTGCTAATGGTCAGCCTGAAATGTGCACAGCTGACAGCGAATAGGTTTGTGCTCCGTTACGCATTCGCTTCTGCTGCAGCATAAAGTGTGCCGTCTTCCCCGAAGAGCAGGTCGTAGAAAGTGGTCGTGGATAGACGCGCTGAGGTCTTCATGCGTCAGGTATTGAGAAACTGGCGGTCGATCTTGTAGAAGACGCTGGTAATAGAACGCTCATTACGGCAGGCATCCATCAGCATGGCAGAGGACATGAGACTGAAGAGGGTGGGAGTGAGTACGCAGCCCTGCTTCAATTCACTGGCCACTGCAAGCGCATCGGAGACTGTCCCCTTGTCCGTGACGGGCGCCATCAGGACGTCATGAAGATGACGCACCAGGTGCATGGGTCGTTAAGGGCAGTCCATCGCGATTAACGGCGTCGAAGGCTTTCAGCAGGTTCTTAGAGGCGCTGTATGGGTGGGTTCGCATCTCGGGGCACTTTCCTTGAAGTTTGCCGGCGGTGAAAATCATGTCGGTGGTCCAGCAATGTCGTCGAAAGTCATACTGATTTCCCGAAGGAATTCTGCGCTCTAAATGATCTTTGAGACGGTTGACAAGGATACGGGCAAAGATATTCCCGGCAGTGTTAAGAGACGAGCCTCTTCTGTGATTATCACAGAGTTTCTGACTCCCTTTCCGCTTGAAGAGATGTGCGAAATTCGCTTACTTGAAAGCCTGACGAAATTCTCCTTGCCGTCATAACTCCCAGAATAACGATCTGCATTTTTTTCGACTGGGATTGCGCCGGATCCCGGTGCTTTCCTATTGTAGAGTTTATGAGCAGCTTTAATTAACTCTGGGAAGAAAGGCGGAAGGTTCGGGTCGTTGTTTGTTGCCACCTGAGGGAGCCGATAGATGGCGGCGTGGGAGATGGTAGACGAGCGGTTGAGAGCGTTTCTGAAGTGTCCAACCTAGCGCTTCCGGATCTGCGATTTTTCCGCA